TGGACTTGTATGACGGCATTCCACAAAGGATTCAAGCAGCTCTGACGACAACCATGCCGCTCCTTATTATTAATAGTGAGCATTATTTTTAATATATTGTCTGGGATAATTTTGCCCAGCCCTGTATATCCACCATGCATCCAGTGTTACATCACGATTTATGTTTTTCCATGGGTAATATATTGATTTTGACAAAACCATTCGTGTTTATGGGCGATTCTTTAAATCTTTTAAATTGTCCTGCTTCCTGTACCCTATTGTAATATTAACATTTAAATTACCAGGCATTAAAAAAAAAATCTATATTTTTTACATTAGAATCGCGGGTGGAGATTTTGGAACCAGTATCACCTGAAACTTCAATTGATTGTTAACTGTTCTATGCTGTTCTGTGCTGTTCTATGCTGTTCTGTGCTGGCACTTTGCACCTTTGCATGAGTGGTTTGTTGGTAGCCTACCTTATAGGCACACAAAATAATAGGTTACGTGTGCATCAGATACATACACATAAGGTAAGCAAAGTGTGTTTTCACATGTGCTACTTTCTGTCCATATCCAACATATTAATTTGCAAGAACAATAGTTTTTAATTCCAGTATTTTGTTCAGTGTCTAAAGTCCGTGTCCATTACCAGTGCTGGGAAGACAAGTCCTTGCACCCATAGCCTCCGTTATAGGCTGCAGACCCACCACGACCCTGAACAAGGTAAGTGGCTTCAGAAAATGGGTGGATGGATTAGTATTATTATTAGCAGTAGTAGTAATAGTAATAGTAATAGTAGTAGCAGCAGCAGCAGTAGTAATAGTAGTATTTATGTCATTGTATGTTATATGCAAAGGAAACAAAGACGCATCTTCACTGCATTCTGCAGTCATTGTTAATGTCACTGTAACATCACTGCATCCTGCAGTAATTATTAATGTCACTGTAACATCACCGTATCCTGCTGAACACAGTTAAAATTGGTTCTAGAGCCAAAGAATATGCATGAAACAGTATAAAGCTTCTTCCAAAGGCTTTTTAATGTAAGCAATCAAACTTTTTATCAAATGTTTTGTAATTTTCTTAGAAATACACAATGTTCAGTGGCACATCTACTATGTAATACTATGTATCATCTCCAACAATGACATATTGCTTTTCAGAAATGCAATTGCAGTGACCATTTCATGGCTTAAACTTGCATGATGGGGGTTAAGTCTCCTGTGCGTGGGAAAATGCTGGTTTGATTCCTGCTGCAGGCAGATCCATAACACCACCATAGCCACCCATTGGAAGGGTGACATTGTGGATGGGGGGTGTGTTGGGCAGCTAGTTGACCCTGGGCCCCCAGAGATTTTTTATTTTCTTCTTGGGAGTTTTTGGTTCTTGTCCTCCATTGTCATCTGGCTTTCTTTCTCTGTTGTGCAAGGTGTTATATTGAAATGAATTAAATTGCATTGAATTGGGGGCAGTGCGGTGGTGCAGTGGTTTGCACTGTTGCCTCACACCTCTAGGATAAGGGTTCGAGTCTCCGCCATGGCTCCGTGTGGGTGGAGTTTGCATGTTCTCCCCGTGGGCATTGTGGGTACTCTGGTTTTCCCCCACAGTCCAAAAACATGCTGAGGTTAATTGGAGTTAAGAAAGTGTGAATGCGCACTGTGATGGGTTGGTGCCCCACCCTTGGTTGTTCCCAGCCCTGCTCCAGTAGCCTTGGGGATAGGCTCTGCCCCCCCCCCCCAAAACAGAATAAGCAGGTACAGAAAATGGATGAAATGTATTGTTTTAAGACCTTTAAACATAACTACTTGTATCAAAATGAACTTAGAGGTGGCCCCATAACTGGCCACGCTGCCCACGTAGTATAGAATTAAAACGATGTGTTGAATGTCCCCCTGTTACTGTAATGATTTGGGACGTTGTAATTGTTCGACACCATTATTCACAGTTTGGTGGAGTCCCTCCAACTCCACCTAGTAGACATACAGACCCTTTCCAAAAAATTAGAATATCATGGAAAAGTTCATTTATTTCCATAATTCCATTCAAAACGTTAAACTTTCATAGATTATAGATTCAGGGCCCACAACTTAAACGATTTCAAGTACTTAGTTGTTTATTTGTACATAATTTGGGCTACCAGCTCATAAAACCCACGAAAACAGGAATTCAAAAAATTAGAATACTGTGAAGACATCACCATTTACTTATATCAATCTTCAATACTTGGTTGGGAATCCCTTGAGGCAGTCAGCCTGTGGCATTGAGGCCGTCAGCCTGTGGCATTGAGGCAGTCAGCCTGTGGCATTGAGGCCGTCAGCCTGTGGCATTGAGGCAGTCAGCCTGTGGCATTGAGGCAGTCAGCCTGTGGCATTGAGGCCGTCAGCCTGTGGCAGTGAGGCAGTCAGCCTGTGGCATTGCCTGACAGTTATGGAAGCCCAGATTTCCTTGATGCTTGCTGTCAGCTCTTCTTTGTTTTTGGGTCTGGTGGACCTCATTTTCCTCTTGATAATACCCTATAGATTCAAGGAGAAGAAGGACTGGACTTACTATGGGGTATTATCAAGAGGAAAATTTTGTATTACTTGTAATAAAGCGTTTTTAGAAGCAAACCTAAGTCCCTGTTTGCTCCTTCGAAAGCCCTATATCCCCCTCACATCATCTTAAAACACTACTCTAGGGGTGCTGAATAGTCTACTGACTGACACTGTGATCTGATCCCAAACTTCAGTCTCACCTGAGTCTCTCTCAAGAAACAAAATTTCCAACGTGGGGATTAATATAGTGCAATTTAATTAACTGTTATTATAAAACATTGGCTAGCTAGCTGGATAGCTATTGCTAGAATGGCATGTAAAACTAATTTTGATTGGACACTTGGCCAGGCATTGTCTATCGACAACTGACTTAGCATGCATCATGTACTGTACCTGTCTTTGAATACTTTTCAGATTTGCGATAGTTTCATTCCACAGTGCTTCTTTTTACTGGAAATCTTGCACAGAAACGGATAATTGCTGACTTGGCAGCCGTGATGAGGATGGTAGTTAACTGTGTAGGTATTTGCACAGTGTGGAAAAACATCAAAGCTAATGCAAGAAATCAGGGCCGCTTGCAGGCTGTGGGCATGCGCTATGGAATCGGATGGACTTGTGGACATTTTTTTTTTTTTGTGTTTGGGTCCGAGTCAAGATCAGAAGACGTGACCGAATCCATTCATATTTGGATTCTGATTGGACTCGAGTCCAAGTTTAGACTCCACTTGAGTAGCTTACCACAATATTATAAGAATGAGTTAATAAAAATCTAAAATGCAATGTTAAATATGCTGGAACGTGGCCTTAGCATGACGCTCAGCAGAATCTCACCTAGGGCACCCAGACGCCCACAGGCCCTGACAAGGTCACGGGGAAGACTACTGAGCTACAAGCGTATGGAAAACATGGTTATGTCACATAGGCCTATTGCTTCATTCTTTTTTGTGCCTTGATAATATCTGGAATGTTCAGGTGAAGCGGTGAGATGTCATCCGGATGAACTTGCCGCAAAGTTTTCCGTGAAAGCCTTTTCTGTGCATACTTAACACCTAATGGCAGGAAAACGTCTACAACCTTTTTATGTCCTTACTCAATGTGGTGCAAATTAATGTGCGATATTAATACCAACATCACATGTCAGCTAGAAAATAGTCTTTCTCTTCCCTTCAATTCTGTAAAGACTTTAAGCTTAATTCGCGAAAACATTTTCACTCTGTCACAGGAAAAAAACACTTAGCAAGTTTTGAAATTTATTCCTTTTCAAGATATTGTAGTATATGTTTAAAAATCCAGTTTAAAGTTTACCTCCGCTGCTGTTGCATAAGTGTTCTATGCATTCTCCGAAATAATTATAATCAGGCGTTTCATGTCCCACCCCAAAATATCGAAGTACCAAAAAAGTACCCGAGCTGGTCTGGTACTTTAGGTCCTGGAACTTTTAGTACTGGTACTCCACTGGAAATCAGTAGAAAAGGCAAAGTCCCGAAAGTACCGTACCAAAAGTACTGTACCTGGTCTGGTGGAAAAGCGCCCGCCCCCAGACAACTTTTTATTGATTCTTGAATTTGTTATTTGCTTGTTTGTTTGCTCGCTTTTCTACAGGGGCCATGAGTGCCTATGTGGGTGGATTAGAAGCTCGCCGATTGGAGCCCAACCTCCATAGAACAGTCTCCAGTCCATGGGCCCTTGAGCGAGGCCCAGAATCCCCAGATCCACGGGCACCGCTGCCCCCTCACTACCAAGCTTGCTCTCACCTACATGTGTGTCATGGGGAGCAAGACAGGGATGGCAAAACGAGAACTTACCCATAGGGATCATTCAAGTGTCATTATTATTATGTATATGCGGATAGTAGTGAATGCAGAATAGGCGGCATTCTCCTGTGCTGCGATCCGCAGGCCAGGCACCACCGTGCTCCCCGCGGCGATCTGCTTGGTGATCAGACTACATTCTTCGAGACGACGACTCCGCCGACTGCATGTCCTTCGCACTGATTTAGCACATTTTGAAATGCAAGCAATGGATTCCTTCATGATCCCACGATCTGTCACTTTTCTTAAAATTCTTACCGATGCAGGCAGCAGTAACTACTAATATGTTGTCTGTCTGAGTCAGTGGCTGTTTTAGAGCTAAACCTCATCTTTTGCAGCCGTAAACACATTAATGTCATACAAAGCTAGCATCAGCTGTCATTTATAACCATTTCGGCAATTTGCACTGATGCATGAATAGTTATTTTATCATTATTATTTCTTAGAAACAACAACCATTAACATACTGTGCAATAGCTGTGGACTCTAGTTGTCTAATTGTTTAAAAATATGTGTGAGCCCTGGTTGGGGGGAATCAAGCGACAAATATTTTCATGTGACTCACATGTCGCTCCTCACCTTAGATACGGAATTGTCACAGGACACGTTAATAGGTGGAGCAGAGAAATACAACGATGGACACACCTCTGTGCCCGACTTATAAAAGGAAACAAAATTTACATCCGATTCACTGAAGAAACTGCTTCGACGACACCGTCTTAGACAGCCTCGTCTAAAATGGGGAATTGCTTGCAGAGCGTTGGTTGTTTTACTTGCTTGCCGAAGAATACTAATATTCGACCGAGTTTCCCGGCTGTGTGCTTCGTCTGGCAGATAGCTATGATCATCCTCTTCGGCGTCTTCATCCGCTATGATGCCGAATCCGATGCTCATTGGCCTCAATACAAAAAATCTCACAACATAACAAGCGACAGCGAGAATGACTTTTACTTCAGATACCCAAGTAAGTGAAACACTACACTGTACTTAGACTGAACTTTAGAGACTAAGGCACTAACTACAGTATACAGCGGGCGTAACTTTGGTTGGAACACTGTGGGGGGTTGAGGTCTCCACCTATTACGGGAAAAAATATTATTGGGGGTGTTGTATTAGCTGGTTTTGATTTATTGGGGGGGGGGGCTACATCTCCCCCCCCCATAATTTACGGCCATGACAGCGGCTGTAGGTTCAGGTCCACCGAGAATATGTGCCAGGTCAATGGGATACCATGTGCTGCTGATGCTATCAGAGAACCACGTAAGTGCTTTCGGAAATAAATAGATTAAAAACAGCAAAATTTTGTCGCTCACTATATTTAGAGCTGAATTTTAATTAAACATTCAGTTATGGATAATAAATAAAATAGGCCTATGTTAGTAATTGCATTAATAAAAATATTAATAATAATTTAATTAAAAAAAATAATTTGATTATTTTATATCACTGAATGATATAAAAAGTAACGAAACTCTGAAGGTGTAATTTTGCTTAGTAATGCTTAATTTTGTAATAATAATAATAATAATTAATGTTGTCTTAGTTAAGTTATTTATTGGTTTATGAAATAACCAACGGTCGCTTTTGCAGCCTCTTGCGATGTCGGTCTTTTAGAGTGATGGTAATTAATGCATCAATAGTAATGCCACTGACCAAACGTACGTTTCACACCGACATCTTTGATTACTTAAGTACATGATCATTTGCAATTGTCCTTATATGTCAGTAACGTGATCCCGTCTTGTCTGCGGGTATCACTTGCAGTTCGTGTGTTTGTAAGGTAACATGATACTCAGGCTTGCTTTTGTTGTGTGGGAGCTGCAGACGGGTCCAGAAACCAACTTTACAGTTACATACGTAAACGTCCCGGAGGACAGCATTTCGGCTTCTGTGCAGTTCTGCTGGGCTCTGTGGATTTTAACGCAAAAGGAGACAGTGGTTAATTACGGTTTTATATTGTAGCTGTAATCAAACTCAAGAATTAAAATGTTCCTTAACTATCATTTCAAGCTATGCTCGCAGAGAAAAGCAAAGCATTCTATTCCTAGTTGCCTAAAACACTACATAAGCTAGATTGTTGCTCAATGAGCGCTTCCCTCTGTGGACCACCGGAAATTTTGGTTCTTTTGAATCGATTCCTGTCGAACCATTTAATGCAGGTGCTAGTGCTGTGCTTTGTTACCTAAAAAGACTGTAGTCTAGGCAGCACCTGTGTTGTGGACACCTGTGTTCACGGAACACAAATCTAAGGTTCACTACACCCGGATTTCTGACTGGGGGGGGGAGTCCTCTAATGGTTTCCTACTAGTCGGTGACGGTTGATCTGCATCTGTGTCGCTGCTTTTAGACCTGGCTCTTCCTAATCCTAGATAAGCTTCTGTACAAGAACCTGTGCTGCACCACTGCGGTCCAGCCACCCTAACCTCTGAGCAGGACCCTGCCCTCCGTACACACTCCTGTCATGTCCATGTGTGCCACAGGTTTCCAGGATGTCCACGTGATGATCTTCGTTGGCTTCGGCTTCCTCATGACCTTCCTGAAACGCTACAGCTTCGGAGCTGTGGGTTTCAATTTCCTGATCGCTGCCTTTGGGATCCAGTGGGCTTTGCTGATGCAGGGCTGGTTCCATTCCTTGGACTACACTGATGGGAAGATCAAAATCGGAGTGGAAAAGTAAGCCTGGTGTCTGAATGAATGCCTGTCAGTTCGAGGTTATCTCTGGATGCTGATTCATGTGAAATTTAAATTAGCTTTAAAGTGCATCTTCTGTGACCTTAATTCACAGTAATTATTAAGTTGGCAAGCCATTGTATGAATTCCTACGTTGCTGAACTCTTACCAAGTCAAAGGGAATCACACCTCATAGGTCTGTCTGTGGAGTTTAGGATCGAGCTGCTCCTTTTTGGCGTATGTCCTTGCTGTCTGTCTGCCTGGTCTGCTGAAATCTACAGCTGTGTTAATGAATCATTCAGATTCAAATTCAAATTTTATTTGTCACATGCATCATCATACATAGTACAAGCTGCAGTGAAATACTTATTGCATTCTCTGTGTGAAGAAGAGTCAGATGTTTAAGATAAGGGGGTTCAGTGAATGTCGGCCTCTGACTAAATCACTTTTTACAGCTTAATCAACGCTGATTTCTGTGTGGCGGGATGCCTGATTGCGTACGGCGCCGTGCTCGGCAAGGTCAGCCCTGTCCAGCTGCTGGTCATGACCCTCTTTGGTGTCACACTTTACGCCGTGGAGGAATTCATCATTATCAGCATCCTACATGTAAGTCACAGGTGACCTGGAAGGGGACCCAGACAGAACCAGGGAACAGAAATGCAGTTTACCGTAGAAGTCATGTTGGTTGTCCACAGTTGGTGTCTCTCTGTGACTCTCATGTCTGGGTTTGGACTCCCCTCTATCCTCTCCAGGCTCAGGATGCTGGTGGCTCCATGATAATCCACACCTTTGGGGCCTACTATGGTCTGGCCATCTCCTGGGTGCTTTATCGGCCAAACCTGGACCAGTGCAAACGTCTGCAGGGCTCTGTGTATCATTCAGATGTTTTTGCCATGGTTGGTGAGTTTGGCCTGTTCAGAAATGAGCTTCCTTGTGGTCGGTTGCGGATTTAAGTGCATCGGTTACCTAACGAGAATGAAAACAACGACGGTAGTGATAAAGGCGGGAGTGTAAGGTGACGGAGCTTCTGAATGTGTGTCCGCACAGGCACACTCTTCCTGTGGATGTTCTGGCCCAGCTTCAACTCCGCCACGGTGTACCATGGTGACGGCCAGCACAGGGCAGCCATTAACACCTACCTGTCCCTGGCGGCTTCTGTCCTCACCACCATGGCCATCTCTAGCCTCTTCCAGAAGAAGGGAAAATTGGACATGGTACTCTATCTTTTATTATTGTTGTTCATTTTATGTCTGAATCTTAAATTATTACAGATCAGAAGGTCTATTAGCGGTAACAGGTCTGGGATTAGGACCTGCAGTTACAGATTACCAGTTCAGTTCTTTGAACTCTATGGTGTTTGCAGTAACCCTGGATTTTTAAACAGGCCGTGTTAATTGACCTTGGCTAACTAGCTCCCTCTGTCCTGATGCAGGTTCACATCCAGAACGCCACTCTGGCTGGTGGTGTAGCCGTCGGCACGGCCGCTGAGTTCATGCTGATGCCATATGGCTCCCTGATCGTGGGCTTTTTCTGTGGCATCATCTCAACTCTTGGTTACATCTATATCACAGTAAGTCTAAGGCCGTCCATAGTCAGCCCCACTCATGTTCATCACAGCTACGCCATTGTTGGAAATGTAAAAACATCCAGAATGTGTTTTCCATTAGAAGGTACTGCAGTGATAGCCATACTCTGTAAATTTCTGGGGAGCCAATATTTATGAGCCACGATTAACCTGGACTCTTATGTGAATCTTGCCAGCCTTTCTTGGAGAAACGGCTGAAGATTCAGGACACCTGTGGGATCCACAATCTCCACGCCATGCCCGGTGTGATTGGGGGCATCGTGGGGGCCATCAGTGCTGCGGCTGCCACAGAACATGTCTACAGCTCTGAGGGGTGAGGAGCCCCTTGCTGGGCATTCATAGTTCTTTGTCCTCTCATGTATGGCTTTGGGCAGGATTGTCTGGTTCAGGGCACAGGGTACTTTGGGCACCATACAGAATGTGCTGAAGATATCCATCCTTTACCTCTTCCTGCTGCTTGTCTCCACAGGCTGATCAACACCTTTCAGTTTGAGGGGCCAATTCAAAACAGGGTCCCGACCGTCCAGGGAGGGTACCAGGCAGCAGCGATGTGTGTGGCTCTTGTCTTTGGCATCGGAGGAGGGATTTTGGTTGGTGAGTACAGACGATGAAACCAATGCTCCTTTAGCAGAGTGCCAACCAGAAAATATTGTCTTGCATAGTTTTATCAGTGCCTGGAAAGAGGCAAGAAACTGAGGCCACAGCTCTCTAGGGCAGGAAAGAAGGTGACTTGAAGTGGTAGTTATCTGAACAAATAGTTAGCAGCAACACTGGAAGCCAAAACTCTGCTCCACCTTTCTCTGCAGGCATTATCCTGAAGCTTCCCATCTGGGGAGATCCTGCAGACGATGGCTGCTTTGATGATGAGGTATACTGGGAGGTAAGATCTCAAAGTCATCCAGTCTTCTCACGGTGCCGTCACCGCTGCTTTTGCAATGAAGTTTGTAACTAAACCATTTAAAATGACCTTATGCTGTCAACACTACCATGCACCAGTGTAGTATGTCAGCATCTCCAGGCGTCCCGACAGTTTGCTGCGGTGATGATATCGACATTTGATGCAAACACCGTTTTGCATGGGAAAATAAACTTACCCATGAAATGCCATTTACAGCTGCCTGAGGATGAAGAGAGCATCCCACCTGTCCTGGAGTACAACAACCACATGACCAACAAGCACCGTGACATGTGAGCGGTCTTGGTTTCAGTGACGCAAGTTTTTTTTTCATTGTCTGTACTGTTAAGTATTTAACCAAGGAGACTTTGAAAGTTACTCATTTGACTCTCTGTCCTCAGGTCTCAGTCCAGCTTCTCTGTGGAGCAGAGCTAGTGTCCCCAGTCAGCACTCTTCCACCTCAGCGACGGGCAAATCATTGCCCCACATTTTGGGACAAATAATAAATTACTTCTTAAAGTTTAGTTTATATGGACTGGGAATGTATTGCTGAGTGTTTATAATATCCTCAGTGTATTAACAGAAATGTTTCATTTAGAGTTTTCCATTCCTTCCCTGGATGCCTGTGCCCCCTTTCCTGGATGTCATGCTCTGTGACACATCAGATCTTTTCCCATAAACCCCTAACCCTTCCCTTTATAATGTTCTGTGTTTGTGGAATGCATTAAGCAAAAACATCCTATTATTGTCATATAAGATAACAGTGTGACACATGGCATTTACAATATCTCCTATTCACATGTACCATTTGTTGTGGGCAGTTAAGTTTTATTTATGTAAACCCATTATATGATATGTGCGTACTACTGAATGGGCTAAGTTTACACCATGTGTATAGACACCTTAGTTCTTGACATAAAACCCACTCCATGATGCTTCATGCTTTTTTTCTATTATAGAATGTAGTACTCTGTAATAGTATGCTAGGGATGTAGTATTTCTGTTTCAAGATGCATCTCAAGACTTTCTATATGGCACTTTTGAAGTAGCAAAAGTTAAGTATCAAATCACTCACTGTTTTCCTTGAAAATCCTAAGTTATCAGGTACACAGTTTAGATAATTGTGATTATTCTTTTTTCAATTTCCATCCAGTTTATTTGACACGCACAATTCCCTCATTCATTTATTGTCTTAGTTGTAGCACTCTGAGTAAACTGAGGTTTGAATGTTTTGTATGTCAAGAATAGATGATTTGCACAGAAGCTTGTTCTCTTTTCTAAGAAAGCAATAAAGGGCTGCATACTTATATCCTGATGGCTCTGCTTTATGATCTATATTGAGAGAAAATCTGTCTCCATTCAGTGGCCCTGCTTGATATTTTCCTTGAGTCAACGTCATGCTGATTGAGGTATAACAGGTCTCACTAGTTTAGTGAGACAACAGACGGAAGCAAGTCTGGGCTTATGACTCATGGCAAATTTCCCAAGTGGAAATCATCAGGCTTAAGTTCAGATGGTTTCAAGCAAGATCAGTTTATAGGCGAGCTGAAGTCAAGCCTTGAAGGGATTTAAATTTTGGTTAACGTAACATCTATCAAAGACAAAGGAGCCAGTCAGGTGGAATCTAAAGGTGATCCATCCATCGCAGAACAAAGGTCTTGACAAATCTATGAATGTCATTGAGAAACGGGCATCAGATGTCCACGGTTTGCCCCACCTGCCTGTGTTTTATTGTCCCTCTGGTTAGGCCCCTGAGCCCAGGAAGGCACAGCCTTCTTATGTTAGTGTCATACCTCCATTGTGATTAACAGCTTTAGGATCAGCAGCATGAACCTCATCACTGGATTCTAAACAATTCAGCAGGTTGTAATGGAATTCAAATTTTTTTGTCAGGACATGTTTGTCTGACGAAATGAGAGGAAACACAAAACACCAAACAAGGATGCGAAGCGACTCTTGGTGTCCTGACCTGCTAGCTGGCCTGGCCATACTAACATTATAACATTTACAAGAACTGCAAGTGCATCATCATGTCTGCTCATCAGCAAGTGTTCCCAGCCAGGTCACTGCACTGCGAGTCTCGGAGAAGCAGTGCAGCCCAGGACCTGACAACTTCCTCCCTGGATTGGCTCATGTGTCCACTACATCAGATAACTCTCAGACACATCAAATGACTTTCAGAAACTGATATACACCACAATAATAATAATGCAGCGTTTGGATTATACTGCACATTCACACGAGTGACACGTTCATCCATCTTCTAAGCATTTCTCTTGGTCAGGGTCCCCAAAGTCTATTCCAGGCACCACAGGGCATGGGGCTGAGGTCACCCTGGATGGGATGTCAGGGTATTGCAGGCCATACATCTGAACAATTAAAATTTGCATAACTGCGTGTGTTTGGACTGTGCAAAGAAACCAGAGCACCCAGAGGAATCACACCCATACACACGCATGCACACACAGGTTTGTGATAGTATCTTTGTGGGGACTCCATTCATTTCCACCCAGCCCTAACCTTAACCATAATACAAGTTTTTTGTCATTTTTAGTTTTTTGCAGTCACAGATTTTTATAAAATTGAATTTCCCCTTGTGGAGACTGAAAACCCCCCACAATGTCAATATAACAGGTTTTTATCACACTGTATACCCTTCGCAGTGTGTTCCTGGCCCCCACTAAATGCACTTTCACTGTGTGCACAAAGTGTACCCTTCATAGTGTGTATCTGGCCCCCATTAAACGCACTGTCACAGTGTGCACACTGTGCACACTTTGCAGTGTGTTCCTGGTGCCCACTAAATGCACCATTACTGTGTGCACACTATAGCCCTTTTGCAGAGGGTTCCTGGCCCCTAATAAATGCACTGTCACTGTATGCGCAGTGTATGCTCTTTTCAGTGAGTTTCTCACCCACACTAGAACACTGTCACTGTATACACACTGTACACCCTTCGTAATGTGTTCCTGACACCTACTAAATGCACCGTTACTGTGTGCACACTGTCTCCCTTTATAGCAGGATCCTGACCATTTGCAGTGTGTTCCTGACCTCCCTTTAAATTCTCCATCACTGCATGTACACTGTATGCCCTTCACAGTGTGTTCCTGGCTCCCACTAAATGCACTGTCACGGTGTGCAAACTATACACCCATTACAGGCAGCATAAATATTCCACTTCAGATCCTGTAGTTTTTTAGTGTTGCATGAGTGAATTCACCACAAAGGACCTCAGGCTGTTGCTCAACCAGTAGTTGCATAATGACAGTGTCTGGAAAAACTGGCTCTTTTGTCTAAATAAAAAATCTAAAGTTAATATTTTTGGGACATGAGTATGAGGATAAGTTTGGAGGCTACAACCTGGCCAATAGGAAGCAAGGACACTTCATTGCTTGAACAATTTATCCAATTGTTGATTAATGTAGTATATGAAAGAAGGGATGGTTTAGGTGCTAATTCCTAATGGTGAAACAAGGCTTCAGAAGCATATGTTGTCAGCCTTAGCAAATGAAAACCAATGAAGTCATCACTGAAAAGAGGTGATATTAATCCCTCAGTAGTGCCACCCATCATGTTTTGCTATCATAAATACCGATCACCAATGTTTGGCATCTTAACCACAGATGTAATCCCTGACAGCTTACAGGTCCCACACATCTCAAGCTTCACCCCATCATACTTAAACCTGGCAGTCCAATCAAACCATGACACAGCCCATCACAAATGATTTAATTGGCTCCGAAGGTGTGAGGAGGAAGAGCAAAACAGCAAACGAGATGTCTTTGAGCTTTCTTATTTTGTTCCAGAAAGGACTCTGTTTAATTGATAAAGGATTGGTAAGATTTCTGTTGACCATTGATTTTATATGCCTGACCACACAGACACACACACACACACACACACACACACACACACACAGTTAGGTTAGGTGACCTGGCTGTGCCTGAGAACATAAGAACAAAAGAACATAAGAAATTTACAAACGAGAGGAGGCCATTCAGCCCATCAAGCTTGTTTGGGGAGAACTTAACTAATAGCTCAGAGTTGTTAAAATCTTATCTAGCTCTGATTTAAAGGAACCCATGGTTTTAGCTTCCGCTACACTAGCAGGAAGACTATTCCATACTCTAACTACACGCTGTGTAAAGAAGTGCTTTCTCAAATTTGTTTTTAAATGTTCTCCCGCTAATTTCCACTTATGGCCACGAGTTCTAGTATTTAGACTAATATTGAAATAGTCATTTGGCTGAACAGCATCCAGACCCGTTAAAATCTTATAGACCTGAATCATATCCCCCCTTAGTCCCCCTTAGAGGATGACAGGAGGAGGTGATGAGAGGGCTGCATCCCTCTTTCAGGCGTTCGGTTGCCAGGCTGTGCTTGAGGATGACAGGAGGAGGTGATGAGGGGGCTGCATCCCTCTTTCAGCTGTTCAGTGACTGTTTTATGGACTTTTCCCAGGCAGAAATAGAAACAACCAGCACATCAAGTCTGCTGCTTTTGCTTTCCGCTTTTTGGACGTGTTCTGGCCTAAATGCCCTGGGGTTGTCCCCACCATATGCTGGCAGTCAGTAAAAATCTATTTTCGGCAAGGCTGTCTAAATGCCAAACCTCCATCCAGCCATCTTCTAACAGCTTATACAGCTCAGGGTTGTGGGATAGATGCCGACCAGCTACATTTTTTGTTATTGCAAACAGAAACGCAGCAAAGTCATTCTTTTTACGCATGAGGTCCACCCTACATCTTCAAGTTAGAGCTGGGCCTGATTTCCTCCCCCCATGCTGACCACATGTTGTTTGATATGTTCTTTAGAATGTGCCTTAATTATGAGATGACATACCTATTTGTACAGCTGGATTATTTACTGAACTTGAAGAGTTACCCCCAAGGGAAGCATGATGGTCTTTAAAGAATGCCTTCATAGTCTGTTTTCTTATGGCATGGTATGTGGCACATTGCTGTTGACAGGTTTTCAGATGAGAAGAACATTTCAGACATTCTTGTTGTCTCTTTTCTTTATATGCTGCTAACCAGGGGCATGACTGAGGATGGGTGGGGCCTGGGCAGTGCCCACCCAATGGGATCATCTGCCCACCCAGCAAAATCATTAGTGATTAGAAGACAGATGGATAGTGACTGGCTTCTAACTTAGCATCAACAAGGCTGTGAAGGACTACCAGACATCAAAAAGTGTGTACATTTCCTCATTTGCTGTTCAGTGGTTGTGCAGCAGGGTCAAATCTAGTGTGAAGAGATTCTGCACGTACTTCTACATATATGAAAACTCAATATCTGTATATTTCAGATTCAGTATTGCACAGCAAAGGACCTATTGAAATATTCATGGGTGTGTTCAAGGTGGAGCTTTCTAATCCAATAATTTATTTCCAGACATCCAAGAACAATTTATCATCCATGCAAGTATTAACAGGGCACCTTTAAGGTCCATTTAAGAAAGAGACTGGATTATGGCCGCTCCCAAAATGAGTTGCGTTATTTAATCCGTGTGATGTTGCCCTGATTCTCTGCCCATAATTTGTTCACCATCTCTTGTCCTCTTGCTGACTCACTGCTCAACAATTTTTATGAAGCAAAACAGTAGCAAACATCTGTGGTGATATTCACCCAAGCGAATCATGGGGTCTATGACGTTATAACATTTCAAGGATAACTGGCTTTGAATAATTGCTGGTCTTCTTTTCTACTTTTATTTTTATTTGTCCCCACTCCAGAAACCTCAAAGGGGTGGTGTTTAGTTAGGGCCAGCAGGCAGCATTTCACTTAAATATATGAACAAGCCTTTTGCACGGTCGAAACATGCTGTAAATATAAATACAAAACTCAAACATAAGTATAAAACTGAAACATCGATAAGGATTACGTGTAATGTCCTGCCTGCCATGTCCACCTGACCCTCCTCCCTCCTCCCTAACGTGGCCCTAACAGGCCATGCCTGTTACTTGTTTGTCTTACCTCTCGTTCCTAACCCTTGTGTTAATTACTTCCAGCAGCATCTCGTTAGCTCCCTCGTTAGTCCTAAATATATGTGTTTCCCAGTCCAGTGTTCCCCAGTCCAGTTGTTGAAGTAAAACCTCCATGTTGCCAGTTGTCACGCCCCGCTCCGTCCGCTCCCGATGTGTGCCACGCCCATCTCGTTACCTCGTGTGATTCCCTGATTGTTCTCACCTGTGATTCGTTACTCTTAGCCTGTCTCTTGTATTTAGTCTGTGTCTAAGTCAGTGTACCCCAGATCTGTCATTGTAGTGTCACGTTAGATGTCCGTGCCTGTCCGTCCCTCCCTAAAT